TTTGTGGCATGCAGGTAGGCTGTTGTTGCATTCGATTTGAGCTCACATCCTTGTAATGCTCGCAACGATTATATGTGACTTTTGCCTGTTTGTTCATTGCAGGGCCCTATTGTTACCACCATCCGTGCTCTGCTGACACCTCATCCAATGAAGGAGCTTAGAGTCAAGGTATGTCTTATTTTTGTCAGATTTACCATTTATCGAATGTTGCTCTAATAGTGAATTAGAAGGGAAAGAAAATGCATTGACTGTGGTTTAGGTGGTCTTTCAGTGTCAAACATTTGAGATTTTTTTCCATTGAAAATTAAAAGTATCGAATTCCTCACATACGTTGCTCTGAGCCCTTCTACACACCTTAAAAAGCAGGACCATTTTAGAGACGTCCTACTTTTTAAGGTGGGTTTTTGTTTGTGCTATGGCGCTAATTGAGCCACTGTTGTGCTAGCATAGGCTTGGAGAGCTTATGATACATTGATACTCATAAGCACTTTTAGGATGTGGATTTTTCTTATGAAAGTTGGAATTGAGCTAAAATCCATGTTTATATAGTATAAAAATAATTGCGGTTGCTAGTGATTGGTATTGTGAAGTTAGGATGTGGTTTCTTGCAAGTGTTACAGTAGTCTTCTAGGCCTTAATTATCTGTTGAGAGTAGGTTTAAAAAGTTTCTGGTTTAATTTTTCTTATCTGTTGGCAAAAAATGGACTTTTCATTGGGCACCCATTTGCTCATCTTGGGTTACATAACAGAGATTATTTATGTCTACAACTAATATTGCGGCATGATTTAACATCTGTCACAGAATAGCAAATTTTAGACCGTCGCAGAAAAACTTTAATGTGATTGATGACTCTTTATACAATGACTATTGTAACTTCGATATATTCCTGGAACCCAACAATAAGGTAAAAATTAATTTCTAACTAGGAGATGAAGGCTACAACTACAGAGATTCATGTAGGGTTGTTCAAATTCAATATCAGCTAGGTAACTCTGTCATAAATCTAAATCTAGTAGATTAAAATAATGGTGTAGGCCATGTAGCCCACTCTCTCTTCCTTTCCCAGGATACTGATTGGAAATATATGTTTAATTGTCCATGGTGATTGATAATGGATGCCCTTCCAGTTTTGCAATTTGTATCAATGAGACAAGGGCAACTAAATGCCCCCTTCTGTTTGGATCCTACAGCATATGGTTTCCAGCTTTCTGTTTTCTTTTTTGATAGTTGGATGAGTTATTTTCTCAATCCCTCTGCTGCTTGTATGACACAGGGAACATATCTGCATCATAAACAAATCAAGGCGGCACAGGGGATTAAAATTTCTGCACAGGTGATTTTTGTTAGTTTTTTGGAATTGAAACGCATTTTGAATTGCTTCAAGGCATAAGCTACATTGTGAATGTCATTAGCATGTCAAATTATGAACTTTTTATTTGATACTCCTCCACACAGGGTCTTGAGCATGCTATTGCTGGGACTGGCTTGTATGTTGTGGGACCTGATGATGACCTTGAGGAGATAAAAAGATCAGCCATGGAAGACATGGAGTCTGTATTGAACCGGATAGAGAAGACTGGAGAGGGGGTCTGTGTGCAAGCATCTACCCTCGGATCATTGGAAGCATTGTTGGAATTTTTGAAATCACCAGCTGTAAACATTCCTGTTAGTGGCATAAGTATAGGCCCTGTGCACAAGAAGGATGTTATGAGGGCAAGTGTCATGCTTGAGAAGAAGAAAGAGTATGCGACAATTTTGGCATTTGATGTCAAGGTCACAACCGAGGTAGAGGAATTTGCAGAAGATACTGGTGTTAAGATCTTTAAGGCTGATATCATATATCATTTGTTTGATCAATTCAAAGCGTACATTGATGGTATCAAGGAGGAGAAGAAAAAGGAAGCTGCTGAGGAGGCAGTCTTTCCTTGTGTACTCAAGATTATGCGTGATTGCGTATTCAACAAAAAGGATCCTATTGTCTTGGGGGTGGATGTTATTGAAGGGGTTCTAAAGGTACGTTTTATTGTCGATTTCTCTAAGAAAAATAGGAAGAAAAAACACATATTTCCGGTATTTCTAGTTTTGTCATTTTATTTTGTGTTGAGCTAAGGTCATCGTACATGTTTTATTTTTAGTGTAAAGCGATATTGGTGCATTCTGCAGTGTAGGTTTCAATAAGACTTTTCAGAAGCTCAGAATATTGGACATGCAAAAGCAAAATTTATTGCTCTTTTTTGAATAAATTGAAGAATAAAGCACGTACTTCTGGGTTTTCTGATTTTGTCATTTGATATTGTGTCAAGCTAAGGTCATTGAACACGTTGTATTTAGAGTGTTGAGCATTTTTTGTGAATTCAGTAGTCAGGTTTCTGTAGGATTTATTAGAATCTTCATTATAAAGCTATGGTTCTTGGTAAAACTGCCTTCGTTTGGGTCTTGATACCTAAGCTTTTTACACTATGAATTTTGATTTGTCCTTTTTAAGTTGGGATCCTGCTGGTAGGATACTTTTTTTTTTCCTTCTATATGTGCTGCTGCTTGAATTATATTGCTCTTCAGAGATATGATTAGTTTCTTGTGATCACTGTTCCCAGTTGTGGCTGCTAAATAAATTTATAACTGTGAATTAAGGTGTGATTTTACTTTCTTTAGTTCTTTGATTACTATTGAAAGAGGTTTTAAAATTGATGTAAGAGGTAAATCCTCCCCCTAGAGCATTAGTTGTAGATCATTGTCGAATTTTGTTCAAAAACTTTGCATAACTTGAGCCTGAACAGCCTGTCTTTTATTTATCCTCACACGTGTCAATTAGGAGTTGTTTTTTTTTTTCCTTACTGTTTTGTAGACTTATTGTCTTGGTTAATTATATCAAATACAGTGTCACATCATGATGTGAATTATGAATCTCATCTTTGTAGCTTTATTGGACTTATCTTAGGTGTTTTGGGCCTATAAGTAGGTTCCAAACTTTGGCTATTTTAGCTTATTAACAAATTTTTCATCATGGTATTATTTTTTAAAAGGTTAATATAGTTTCTTGACTTCATTTTCATCTTGGAGTAGCGAACAAGGCAATGTTAGATCTAAATAAGTAAATATAAGCCTAGGGCTGTATATTGAAGGGAGAATGATTTTGTCATTATTATTGAGTTGAGCTTATAATTTTTTTACGCTTGGGTTGGGATAATTAATATCATCTTTGTAATTGTTACTCAATTCATTTTATTCATAAAAATACGCATCATGCCAAGTAGGTTTTTGTCTTCTAGTTGTTTTAATCTTTTATCAGGCTCTTGTACTGATTGTGGGTTTGGATTGCAGATGGGAACACCAATCTGTGTTCCTTCAAAGGACTTTATAGACATTGGGCGTATTGCTTCCATTGAAATTAATAAAAAACCAATTGAGTCAGCGAAGAAAGGCCAACAAGTTGCCATTAAGGTCTGTTTTTGTTTTCCCTTTAGCCTTTACTGTTTATTTATTTACTACATTTTTTTTCTTTTTTTTTCGGGGGGTGGGGGCGGTGGGGGTACAGAGGATTTGTCTAGTTATCTAGTAGTGATTCTTGTGGAGGTAGGTTTTATTTTTCTGGTTGACTCATTGAGAGGCGTAGAAGTTTGGATTCTTGGAAAGAAAAAAGCAGGATGTTTGAGAGGACAGAATAACAATTGTTAGCATGAGAACTGTGCTCCAGCAATGGTTTTGGCTAACGATGATTGAAAAAACAATGGTATAAGGAATGCCAGAGGAGGTGGAACCTAAGTAAAGGGTAGTTGTTTTATGTTCTGGTTTCTTAAGATTATATGCTTTGTGATTTACAGATTGTGGGTACCAACCCTGAAGAGCAGCAAAAGATGTTTGGAAGACACTTTGATATCGAAGATGAGCTTGTTAGCCATATTTCCAGAAAATCTATTGATGTGCTCAAAGCTAATTACAAGGTGAGTAAATAATTTGTTACACATTCATCAGTACCAACATGCATGCTGATGCTAACTGAAATTATCCTTTCCAGAAAGATGAGTCTATGCCTAATGAGAATTGGAGGTTGCTTGTTAAATTGAAGAATCTGTTTAAGATACAGTAAGCTTCCATTGCTGCTCCTGTACTATTCCGACATTTTTGTGTAGATAAGCGAGTCTTACATGGAGCTGAAGTTTCAACTTGAAGTACAAAGTTGGTTGTTGGATACCAACTCAGGTTCTCTTCTTGGCTGGTTCTCTTCCCATTTTTATTAATGGCTGGAGATATGCTCGCTGTCATCGGAGTTTTGTCACCCTTCAATTTACTACATCGAAAGCTAATGGAGCTAGATGCTGGGAACTGATTGGCGTCCTTTTTGGCGTCGAGACAGAATGAGATAACTCTGATCAATACCTCAGGCATTTGCCTTGTATTTTTTTAATCTTTTGCAGTTTTCTGGATAGAGAGGGAAGGGGGGTTGCGTTTATGAGTGATTTACATATTATGATATTTGCTGTTCGATGTTTTTGAATAACTATTTGCTTTAGAATAAAAGATTACTTTCACGAAGAATCTTAGGTTGTTTTCTTGGCTAAACATTATCCACCAGTCCCTGCTGCAATGGTACGATAATTACAGCACTAATTTTAAAGGAAAAGTTTTAGGAATTAATACCAACAATTTTTTTCTATAAACAAGACAAAATGGCTCAGCCCAACTAGCCCATTGTTCTTATCGCCTGTTCAGGAGCCTAGACAATAGGTCTTAGCTGCACCAGCTAAGGCCCTATAAAATGAACATTAGTGTGTAGCTAAGAATGTGCGGAGCCTGCCTTAAACAAGTTCCGCAAACATGGAATTCCAATCTTTTTTGTTGTTGCTTGGATTAGGTTTCAAAAGAGCAGGGTGACAACATAGAAGCAACTGTCATGGTTTTCCCTGTCCCTGGTGAGCCTCAAATCAGCTTCATATGTTGTTCTGTTATGATTAAGTCTGTATTCTGTTCAAAACAATATTTTCCTGACATTTATGTAATCCAAATGAGCCAACGACGTCAAACACATTCCTCCCTTCGACACTGAAGTGCGCTTTGTAGATGCAAAGTATATCACCATCAACTTGGTAATTTGAACACACTAAAAAAAAAAAAAAAAGCAAACATATCAATGAGGAGAATTCAGGGTTTTAAAAGAATGACAGAGATAAGTCCATACTTGTATGTATGAGAAAGCCAAGGAATATTATTGTTGTTTCATTATATGATTAAAAAATAAAAGGTTTACAATAAGGTACTGGTTCAAAAGCAATGCACCATTTCTAGAGCAGTAGGGGGAAAACAAATTTGCTTATGAAACTAAATAATCTTGTACAGATACATTTAGATTCCGTTGATACTGCTGTATTATTTCAGCTTGTAACAGATCTACAGTATTTTCAGTTGTGAAGTTTTGACAGCACAAATAAAATCATGGTTGAGCTATGGCAGAACTCTTTTCTAGGAAGTTTCTAATTTAATAATGTTTGGCTTCCACCATCCTCAAATCTCCCCCAAGATGCGCGATCCACCATCATCACATCGCTGCACTTGGCTGCTAGGTAAACCAGGTCTTCAACTAGGTAAAGGATTGAAGTTTAGGCTCAATCATGAAACCTTTGATCGCGAATCCAACTTCTTTTGTGTGGCATCGGCAATGCAATGAAAATTCTGCCTCTCCAATAGAGCCTTTAGGGTGTGTCTTGAACTCGCCTATAGGGACTTTAAACCATTTATTTCTTGGTTTGTCATTCAAGTTTTGCTCGTGCTCCTGAAATTTAACATTAGGAAGGAATAGTAGAGAACGGACAGAGATCTTCTCTTTGTCATTCAAGTTTTGCTTGTGCTTTTGAAATTTGACATCAGGAAGTAGTAGAGAACGGGCAACCACCTTTTCTAGCATGGCCACATAAGTGAATGTATATGTTACATTTGGAGATAGATCATCGATTCCGATTATTCCACGCACATGAAGCTCAGATTCTGAAGATTTTAGTTTCACCACTTTGATTAATGCACCATCTCTGCAGCATAAGAACAACAGAAGTGAAACTTTAATTAGATATCAACCTTGCAATGACTATCATTCAAACATGTAGAACACATTTTCCTTCCTTGATAGATACCTGTCTTTAGTTTCAGTACATTCGCAATTATCTATTATATCATCCCACTCTGGCAAACCATCACAATCCACGTTTGTTGTTAAGGCGAGGCCTGCCACATACACCATGAAGCAATTATATGGGCAGTCCCCTTGCTTCACAATCCAGAACTTCTGTTTTTCAATCAATAACAGGAACTGAATTAACAAAACATACAACATCGAAGCCTTAATCCCATTGATGGGTTCGGCTACATGAAGATGAAATTTAAAAATTTTAGCTATTATTTTAGAGGGGAACAAATAGAAAATTTAGGAGCTGAAGAGTCTGAAGCCTGTCTAGTATTCAGAATGGTTGAAGAACTTGCCTTCATTTTGTTTTTCAGAAAGATCCCAGCAGTGAGCTGCTCATAGATCTTGTGAATGGAAGACATGTCAACTTGAGTGTCAGACTGCTCAATGATGGCTTCAACATTATGAGGCAGCCTAAGCCTTTGCTGCGACCATCCATACATCCTAGCTTGTTCGCCAAATTGTTTGGGCAGTCCAAAAAATTCAAGTTGTTGGAGGGTGGTGACATACACCAAACCTTGAGGAAACTGTTGTAGCATCTGACATTTTAAGATCTCAAGCTTCTTAAGCCTAGGCATCGCCCCCTTCTCTATCTCCCACGTGTCCAAGTTCTGAAGGTCTCCAAGGTAGAGTTCTTCAAGCTGAGGAAAGGAACCACGGTTGCAAGTGAATGTTGTTCCCGTGTAAGAGTTTGACAATCTTAGAAGCTTTAGGTGGGCTAATGCTCCAGCAACTACCATAACATCCTCATTCTTTAGAGCACTATTCTTCAATTCCAGTATTAAAAGATTAGGTGGCAATAACAGAGACAGCTTCTCTACCTTAATTTTTCCAACCAATACCAGTTCATCTAGGTGTTGATTCTGAGAGAGAGCGTGATTTACATGTTTTAAGGCCACACCAAAGTTCCATTTACAGTGGAATTTATGAAGCCGATCAGACACAAGGCTTGGGCAATCAAAGACAGCTTCCAAATTATTTTCGGTTGACACAACCACCTTCAACTTACTTAAAGTTGGGCTTAGTCTTAGCATCTCTTGTGAAAACCAATCACTCCCTCCACATTTAACACCCCAGAGTATTTGCAAGTTTTTTAGAGCACTCAACTGTAGTTTTTCAAGAGTCCAAGGGCAATCAATTGGCAAAAATAGATGCCTCAGTAGCTTAAGCTTGCAAAAGACATTAGGAATTTTGACAGTTGTATTAGAGTAGTCAATATTCCTGTAGTCCAAAGTCAGTAAATTTCTTAATTTACCAATTGATGCAGGGAGTTCTGTGATATTAGAAGCCCGAATTCCCAGATACCTCAAGTGTATTAAGCTCCCGATTTGTGTAGGCAAAGCTCCAGTGGGAGTCTTAATTCCCCAAAGATTTAACAATCTAAGCAATTGGAATTTTTGAGTGAGAACATTCAAGTTTAATGTCTCTTTGGATTCATAGGCAGAGTGCATTACACTAGATCTTGTCAATAGTACAAGTGACCTCAAATTTGAAGCTTGGGTAGGAAAACATGTGCTGAAAAAGTGTGAAGAAAAAGAGAAAATTAACTACGGTTTTATATGTTATAAATTTATATTCCATGATTTATATATGTCCTTGTTAGAATATTGCATTATGAATAAATTATAAGATACGAAGTATTAGACATATATGAATTCCATTCTAGATTGGTCTCTTTATATGCTAAGTAGATAAATATGTTACCTGGAATGAAGAGCAGCCCTCCGTGACTGGAATGCTATTTGAGATGCATCAGTGGGAGCTAAATTGTTGATAGGAGTTTTAACTTGAAGAAAACATTGTTCTTTGGCCTTTCTGACACAAAGTTCGCGCAATAGATCATGCAAGTGAATTGCTTTGATGGCTCCCTTGAAATTGGTCCGCACTACTTGAATCATGAACCGGTGACTCATTTCTTCTAAGCACTGCATTGCTACATCTTCAAGGGACATAACTTCATTTGCAGCGATAAAACCCTCAGCTATCCACATTCTGATTAGCATTCCAACTGGAATTTGGCAGTCTTCCGGAAAAACACCCAAATATAGAAAGCAAGGCTTTAGATCTGCAGGTAGATCATCATAGCTCAGGGCGAGCATATCCCCTACTTTACCATACATATGTGAGCATGTACCTTCCATTACCCTTGACCGTACAGCTTCATATACTTGTTGCCATTCCCGAATGCTTCTTTTTGTATTCAAGATCCCAGCCAATGCAACTACAGCCAAGGGAAGTCCATCACATTTCTCCAGCATCTTCTTGCCTAGAACCTCGAAGGTTTTGTTATTGCAATTTGTATGGAAGTTGAAAGCAATCTTGCAGAACAATTCCCAACTTTCTTCCTTGCTTAGAGGCCTTGGTTCATGGACATATAGGTTCCTTTGGATGTTCTGGAATTGAACTACTTCTTGGTTTCGGGTTGTGATAATAATTTTACTTACTTTGTTTTTTCTCACCCATGGGAGGGCAGGGAGTATTTCCTCTAGTGCTTCTTTCCTCCACACATCATCCAACACCACCAAATACGATTTCTTTTCCAAGATGCTCCGGAGCTTGTCCACTAGCTCATCCACACTTGAATTCGCATTCAACTTGGACAACTCCATAGGGTCAGGGTCACTAACTTTCCTCAATATCTCGAATAAAACGTGTCTGGTGCTCCATTCTTGGGATATATAAACCCATACACAACAATCGAAGCATTCTTTAGTATATGGATGGTTGTAGAGCTTCCTACCAAGGGTGGTTTTCCCCGAGCCACCCATCCCCACAATGGAAACAAAATTTACTTGAGTTTTTCCTTCTCCCATCAACATTTCTACCAAAATTTTCATGTCTTTCTCCAAGCCAACAACAAACTCACCATCATCATCATAAGGGTAGCTTCGTGGCTTTTGTTTAGAATATCTTTCACGGTTGCTTGATGATCTCAAATCTTCCCCTACCTTTGAGATTCTTCTTACTCCAAAATCAATCAAACTGTGAGTAATCTGCTTCACATTACTCTGCATCGACTGTATCTGCTTCCCTATACTGTATGCCTGAGGCGCAGTATGCAGGAAGCACGTAAATCCGAAGAGCCAGCCCTTATTTTCTGGGACATCTTTCTTTAGTTCAACTTCAATGATGTAAGTATCAATGACATCCTCAGCATCATAAGCAAGTTTCCTAATTTGCCTGATCAAAGTCCGAATTTCCTTTCTTTCTTGCTTTGCATCAGCATCTTGGAGATACTGTTGGATGAGTTCAAGGTCTTGCTGGAGGGCTCTTACTTGGTCTTCCACTTCAAATAACAGGCTTGCTTCTTGGACTAGCAAGGAACCAATCCATTGTATAGCTGAACCTACAAGAGATGCCGCCATCTTACAGCTAGTCCTGTATGCACATACCCTTGTCAAACTGAGTATTAACAATAAACTTAGCAGCATACTGCTGCATTATATAATTATCATTAAGACAAATCGGAAATTTACAATGCATAAACTATCATCAAAATATATTACCGACATACACAAAAGTTTGAAGCTCGTGTATATCATGAATCAAAAAATAAAATACAAGTGACAGATCAAAACATATCAGAGTAAAATTAAACGTACACTTGTCAGAAGAGGCTGATAACTGATTCTGGTGAGGAATTGGTGAGATGAATAGAAGATATCTAACTTGATGGAAGATTCATGGGAATTTCTAGTCTACTTTTGTGGAATTTTCATTTGAAATGCATCATTTATTGTAGCTAAGGAGGTGCATTTTGACTAATCTCAGGGAATATAATGTGACTTTTCTCAATTTTGGAATTTCTTGGAATTATTGCAAAGTAGCCGCTATAGAGGTCCTACAGGTCCCCTTATTGTTAGAATTCACTGTTCACCAGTACTAACTGAAATCGATTTTTAAAATGTACAAGTATATATGTGGAATGCAAAGAAATCTGCTAAATAATTTCTACTGTGAATTACAACATGTTCTTCAACGAGGACAATAAATCAAATTACCAAAAAATAATTTGTACACGCCATCAACCGTAACATTCAGATTTAAAAAATAAAAAATAAAAGAAAAAAAACAGCATCAAAATTACATAACTTGCTAACAAGCAATCATCTGCCATTACTTATTAGTAATACATAGGTCATTTTAAAATAAATTACGATTGTGTCAAATTAAAAGCATGATAGATTGACTATAATGCAGATCCCAGGGACTAAGTTACTAAGAGCATCTCCAATGGTTTACAAAAGGAATCTGCTTGCAAATTAAATAAAATTACAGGCATGTAGCTTTCTATTGGAGTGACGATATTGATGTAGCTAGGTTAAGCAACCTTGCTCAAACAAGCTATGTTGACGGTGCTTGGTTTTTCAAAGAAAACTTCATCCACTTAAATTGTGGCATGTGTACGATAAGAATTACTTATTTGTTTTTTTGTTTTTCCAAGCTACAATATGAAATTGCTCACCATTAGAGCACTTTGTAACTACAAAATATACTAGCACTATTATCACCTTTCCGGCTTTCCCAGCATATCTGGACTCAGTGGAGAAGAAACATGCAATAATCACCTAAAAAAATTAATCATCACCCACCAAAAAAGCCACTATAAAAGCTATGGAGCAAACTCAAAGAGAAAAGTGGAGCAAATTTTATGGGACCGATGGAGTATGCCGGAAGCCATTATGGGGAATTGTGGAAGAGAGCATCCCATGGTAAAATTTATGTGCATCTTGATAGGACATGTAGTGAACTAATCATTTCCTTCACAATCATGCACAATATGGCAGTTTGCATGATAAGCAGGGAAAAGCCTCTACAGGGATTGAAATCCTTTTTCATTAGCCTTTATTTCTCTTCTTTAACAAAATTAGCATTCACTTGTTATCTCTAAAGTTAAACTCCCTTATCCGTGGTTACTTATCAACAGTTAATTAAACTTTATATGCTTCACTCCCTATGTCAACCGATTGACCCTGAATCACAGTAAAAAAATATTACTGTGATAGATAATGAACTACTTTCATAATTTTACTCCTTGCAATTCTTTTCACCAAACCTAAAGAGAAACTACTGCTCAAACTCCTACAGTGTAGCACCTATACTCTTAAACATGCAGAGTGTGGATCATTAAATCCCTGATGTGAATTGAAATATTGTAAACAATGTGATTGACATAGAAAAATGAAAAGCATATATTTCCAAGCAATAATGTTTTAAATTTAGGCTTTGGTTTATTTTGATTTATTTCAAACAAAATAAGTTATTTAGTTCAAATAATTCAGACATGTTTCAGACAAAATAAGTTCAAACAAAACACGTCGAATACATAGACCCTTACATAATATATGCAAAGTATATAGTAATTTAATTTTCCTAGTAAAATGTGCAGAGTAAGACCTGTATTAAAACACAAAGTGATCAAAAGCCCAATTCATGATGGGAGTAGGAATGGAAAAAAGTTCTCATAAAGATTAGCTCTATTGATCAATTGAAATTGTGATACAATTAACAACAAAACTGGACATGAATAACTCAACATCAGCATTGCCTTGATGCCAAGACTTCTACCAAAACTGCTATGAATAGCTTTTTTTGTTGGCTTTTAGCTTGTTGGCCCACAAATTATCTAATAAACAGCCAACAATCGCCAACTAAATTTACCAAACACTTTTATAAACAGTCAACTTAAACAACCAATTTCAAAAGCCATTATAAATAGTTAAACATTACAATTGGTCAAACAAACCAAATGAACCAGCCAACTGTCATTTACCAAACAAGGCCAAAGTGTTGCACAAAATAAATATAGAGAAGCCACATTTTGTATTGATGAATATTTTAGTTAAGCTATCATATTTTGTAACTTGCTTTGTTCCAAAATGTTTGTCGGCATATGAAGCATGGTATAAATGATTAATTATCTACTAAAAATCTAAAATTGAATGAAAGATATGTGCTTCTTGAAATGGACAAACATTTCCAAAAAGCTCTTTTTTCAAACGCTCCTAATTTAACCAAATTCCTACAGTATTATTGTATTTTCTCTGTTTCTTTATAATTGTAACACTTCTCTAAAAGAAAAGTGTTAAAATAGTTACAACACACTATAAACGGAAGGTTTTTATGGTGAAAATTGTACTATTACCTTTATTTATAGCTCATAGCCTGGCCCACTTGATTATACACCTAACAATCTCTTAACCCCATTTTAAGTGTATTATATCACGTGAGGTCCACTTTTTTTAAGTGTGTGTTGCAACTATAAAGAAACGGAAAAAGTATAACTTATGAAATTAACAACTACTCATATTATATACTTTTTATAGTCAACGTACACTTGCTTTATTTAGACTTTTAAATTATTCATACTCTTCTTTAATAATGCCTTGATCAATATTCATTGTTTGACTTCTTATACTGTACGCACGAGTAGTAATTTATAACTTGCCACTTGCTCTTTCTGTAATTAAGCTAGTAATTAAGATTTAAGATGTTACGTTATCAATTCATACGCTTAGAGTGTAGCTAGCTTAGTGGACCTAGCTAGCAATGAGAGTGACAAAAAATTGAATATATAAAAACCGGTCAACCTAACCTATGAAATAGAGTACGGACGTACTACGGAGTAGTAATTAGCCTACACGTTCATATGCCTAAGTCAAGAACGAGTTATTGCTAACATGTCTTATTAGGACATTTAATAATTTTGGTACATTGACAATTAAGAGAAGTTCTTAGGTTGCATGTAGCTAGAGTTGTAAAAATTTAACCCCTTCATTAAAATAAGCTCTGTTTCATTTCCCTTCATTTGTATAACACACACAACAATAGCTATCAAAAGTCAAAAAGAATGTTTAGGAACAAATCTAAATCCCTACATTTTAACTATTTCATAAGATTTTCCTTTGCCGCCTATGCTAGGCAATTATGCTCAAAACCTCTGTTACCTGAAGAGCGTTGTGTTGCAGGCAGCGCGAACTTGACTGACTTTCTGGAGGAGAAACTCAAGGCAATGCAGCAGCGGGAGCTGGAAGATTATTTGCTGCGCAGTAGCAAAACCAGCATCTACCGCGTCCCAGCAAAATTACGACAGATTGAGCCTAAAGCATACGAGCCTCATTTTATATCCATAGGTCCCTACCATCATGGCTCGCCTAATCTGCAGCCTTCAGAGAAGCTCAAGTGGCTCTCTTTGACCCGCCTTATCGGATTTGGTGAACGAGCTCGGGATGAATTGGATAAATTGGTTACTAGTTTAGAGGCAATAGAGCATAAAGCTCGGTGTTGTTACTCGGAAGATGTAAAACTTAGTAAAAGAGAGTTTGTTACAATGATGCTTCTTAATAGATGCTTCATAGTTGAGCTCTTTCAAGACCTCAGACGAATCGTTTCAAGTCTTCATCCCTCCTCTCCAAGCGATGGATGCTTCCTGCTGTTCGCCTCGACCTTATAGCCCTTGAGAATCAACTCCCTATGATAGTCCTCAAGAAGATCTTCGACGAAACTAGGACAAAATCAATGGAGGAGACCTCGTTAGAAGAGCTTGTGTTGGGTGTGGCCCAAATTTTATAAGCCCGTTATTTTGGTGGAGTATTTATGCATATTCTAGATGTTTTTGGAAAAATCAAGCAAGGATAGTCCTTGTCAATATTTTCTTTAGAATTGTCTACTTTATCGTTCTAGAGAATTCTTGAGATTGGAAGCTACTAGAATACATGGCTCGTGAACATTCTAGAATATTATGGATATAAGAATGGAGGAATTTCTTGAATCTTCCGGCCATTTCTTCCAAGCTCCATCTACACCTATAATTATAGGTCATGGGCATTCAATCAAGATATATGTACACACAAGAAGCCATACCATACACATACATAAGCCTTTCACCTACCTCCTTATAATTCTCTACCAATTTACCTTTGCTTTATGAATTCACTATTCCTATTTTTGTAGCACTCCTTTGTGAGTTCCTATAGTGAAAGTTTTCTTGTAATACTCACTTTTTTAAGGGTTCTTGTACTCTCTTATTTTCATATAGTGGATTATTTTGGTGCTCGTCATCGTGGGTTTTTTGCCTCTATTGAAGATTTTTCCCACGTTAAATATTATGTGTCCATTTTACTACTTGTCTTGCCTTTATCTATCTCTTAATATTTTATCAATCTCTACATCTTTAAATATGTTTCCGCTGTGCACTCACCAACCCTAACCACTTGCGTACCATTTCTTCAATCCATTTATGCCTAGAGAAATATATTTGTACGACAAAGCATCAAATCAATTATTGCAAAAGACGATGACCCTCAAAATACTCAACACTTGCTTGATCTCTTCCATTCTAGTATCACCCTTGGGAATAAAGTGAAGCGAGGCACAGAGCCTCACATGTACTGCTCAACGACTAAACTAAAAGAAGCAGGCATCAAGACACGAGTTCTATGTTACAGCCAACCTCTAGATGTAAGGTTCGAAAAAGGAACATTAAGGATTTCGAGCTTGCAAATCGACAATCACATAGCCAGCTTCTTTAGGAACATTGTGGCTTATGAGCAATGCCACCACGAATGCTATCTGGACATGACAACATATCTGTTCTTTCTAGGTAAGCTCACTAAATCGACTGAAGACGCGAGGCTTTTACACGACGAAGGGGTGATACTGTACTACTTAGGCAGTAACAAACAGGTTGCTAAGCTTATCAACAATCTTTGCCTTGAATTAGTACATGATGGTCAGTATTCTTATTTGTATGATGTGGTGGAACGTCTTGATATCCATTCTGATTAACTCGTCTATGTTGAAGAGTTTCAAAAAAATTAATGATTATGCTTTAAGATCAAATTCATAGACAGGGATACTACTGAACCAGAAGATTGAACCCGGCCTGGTGTGCCTTAGGAGAGCATTTGGATTTGTAACACTGTAAAATTTGTGTTTTCATTGTTTTTCAAGGATTATGATTTGAATTGCTTTAATGTTAGCTACAAATAAAATCTTATGGAGTACCTTTTAAATTCAAAGCTTCATCCTTAATCCAATGCACATATATATGAAAGATCAGAGGTGTTAATTTGGGTGTTCGGGTCAGGTCTATATTAAATTTGAGTCATATTCATGCTCAATTATTATTCAGTCTATAGAAGTCAAAATCTAAATTTAATTTCTTTTTAAATTAGGTTATGTTGATCGGGTTAGTTTTAACACCTCTAACGACAATAACCAAACTAGCATGTCCAAAATAAATCTTGATATTTTATATAATAAATCTAACTTATGTAATATTATATACATACCGTTCATAATATGATAGAAGAATTTTTGTTTTATTTTTAGGTGAAAATATGTCTAGTATATAGTAATATACTAATACATAGCTCCATGTGAATCTTCATACAGTGTAGAATTGATGCAACAATAACTAATTAATCAGTTAATCATGCACATCCTTTAAGCCTAAGAAAGTCAAATACATTGCTAGTAAATTTGGTATTTATGCATATCCGAAACAAAACTTTCTCCATATTATCACTATAAATAGTTCATTTTTATTATAAGAGCCTCTAGCTTTCACTAATTACTTCCTTTTAATCTTTGGTTAATTAATTGTAATATTATGGAGGGGGCTTCAATTAAACTAGCTCTTTTTGCTGTTTTAGTGGCTTCTGCATCATGTAGGTGTCTCAAATATATATTTTTCTGCGTTTGAGTTATACTTTGCTGTTTATTTTATTAAGTCATTGAGCATAGTTGATTTGAAGTACTAGTACGATAATTAATCTTACTTGTAAGTGTAAAAAGTACGTGTCAGTGTATCACTATTATAAAATAAGAGGTTTGAAAATTATTTTACTGATTATTTAATAAGCCATGATAAACTACTACGAGTAACATTTATTTTTAATTGAAGTAATAGTAATGAATCATTGTTAAGGGCCTTGTAACACCCTACAAATTAAACCCTTAGTACTTGTTAAAGCTAGCTAGCCCAATTATATAATAATTCTTCCATTATTTTGCAGTTCTAATTCCTTATGTAGTTGAAGCAAGAGGCAACAAACAACCACCCTGAAGTGCACCAGCATCAGCACCGGCGCCTAATGTTGTAGGAGGACCACCATATCAAATCCATGGTTGTGGCTACCCGTGTAGCGACTCTAACGATTGTGATGCACCTTGTACAATCTGTTGTGCAAACCAAACATGTTGTTATGATGAGCCCATAGATCTTTCACCGCAACCACCACCACCACCACCGCCACCAGTAGTGCTGTCTTCTGCACCAGTACCGCACCAAATCCATGGGTGATTCACTTTGTGCTTTATGTTTTTGACAAAATCAGACTTGTTGCTATGATCTGCCTACTCTGGATGGGTTAGCTCAAACACACTTCTGAATTGTCACGAGGATATAACTCAGTATATACATACTTCTAAACTTTGCAAAAAATAAATAAATTCAATCATTAATCCCAACTATAGTGAGATTCATGTTGGATTGAAACCTATTTCAGTGTTATTGTTGTCATCAATGTTTTTATATATACATAAATAATACGGAGTAATCATCACTTGCTCTCGTCATTAGAGATTTGGAATGTGGTTTTACCAAGATCTTTAAGTTAACCTAAGGACATAGACCTAAGGACATAGACACTACAATGATGTAGGTGAAATTGATTTTTTTTTTTGTGTCACTCCGCTAAGACTTTAGCTAGAGTTAATCTATGTCATCAGTGTCGTTGTTGACATGACTACATTGGTTTGTCTTAAATGATGAAACCTTGATTCCGTTTAGGATTGATGATGGCCTAATTCACACATATATCATATCCAAAATCTATTTTGGTTGTTTGTCTTAAATTTTCCTAACATCAGTGATAAAGGTGCATTATTTAACAAGTTGAAGTGTGAAAACTTAATATAATCACAGCTAGCCTAGTTGGTTAGCTTGCCAATAAAGGTCTTCAAGTTTGTTATGAGATTGACCATTGACTAATTTTGTATAGTCAGTCAGTATGCCTAAATTTATGGTCAATTTTAGGAGATTTCTAACTACGAATTATTTCCTTATAGTATTCCATCTATCATAAGTTTGTAACTATAGAGTATATATACTTTCTCCGTTTCAAGATAATAATTATTAATACCAATATGTTATATTTGTATTTCCCTTAAAAGTACACGGTAAATTATCATAATTACCACCTTCCAATGGATTGATCTTGAGATGTATGTACTTGGATCTTTAACCCAATTTTCACAAAAATCAAGAAACATGTGCATTTGCTTACAAATTTAGTAAGGTTTAGCACAATTAGCAATCTAACATTGATGAGTATTTCAATTTAGAGAACTTCACGTCTACTTTAATAAAATTTGACCCAATTTCAACTTTAAAAGGTTATTAATTAACTCTGATCTACATTATAATATATAATGATTGAAGTTTTAAAACTAATTCTAGAACTAGGCATATCTGATCTCTTTATCATCTAAACTTTACTTTGGACATCACAATGCTACAAGGTTCAGTGAAGCTAGCTTTATTGGTTGTTCTTTTGGCTTCTGCATTAGGTAAGTCTCCAATTTATTACTTTATACTTGTATACTACGTATATAATTCTTAATTTTAAAAATTTATGTGATATTTCTATATATTTTTTCATGCATGTAAATATGTTCATATTAAAACTAAGTGAAGGGTGCATGGTTATGTACTCCCTTTGTTTCTGAAAGTTCGACTCACTTTGCATTTACATAGTCTTTAAGTGAAAAATTATAGAAAGTTGATATTTGGAAAATATAAACTAAGATGAATCTAATAAGATCCTCCATGATAATATATTTCTTTTGTATAAATCATAAAAGTTGGTCAAAGTTATTTTATTTTGACAATATAAATAGTAAATGAGTCGAACTTTCAGAAATGGAGGTATATAAATTTGTAATTTTGTGAAATCATGTTGGTGTAATTATAGAATAGGGACAATGTGATAACTAACTACTATTTCAGATTACCAAATGGAGGGAGTATAATGATAATTATAATTACGTTTGAGAAGGTTCAAACATACTCAAGAAAATAATCCATCATGTTATTTTTTATTTGTCCCTTATTTTCATTTTACCATAGGTTTTGCTCCATTCACAATTGAAGCCAAGCATAGAAGATTCATGGTTCACAATTACCATCATCAACATTTGTGATAGTGCTGGTGCATCATCACCTAAACCCCCACCAATATCGTCACCACTACCTGCTTCTCCACCATCCACACCAAGGTCGCCACTTTCGCCACAATCAACGCCGGCCCCAATGGAAGCAGAACCACCAGCTGCCACGACCGGGAGTGGGAGTACCAACAATAGTTTTGCCGCCAGGATATCAATTCACAACTTTTCGTGTACGTTTATGTGGTTACCCGTGCAAAAATAGAAGCGACTGTGATTGGCCCTGCATGGTTTGTTGTGCTAATAGCACTTGTTGTAAAAAGTAAAATCCATGATTTCATGTACTAGTATTATGGAAATCATTAGTGAAAAAAATTATTTTATTTCATTTTACCCCCTAATGTTAGTGAATAGTTGCCTGAAATTTACTACTATCGTTTCATACAATTCACATTAATTGTAATGCAACCAAGAAATAATATTTTCAATTGGTTTGGTTAATTCTAACACCAAACAAGGTATTTTGTAAAAGGTATGGCCTATTGAACTTAAGTCATATTATTGGTAATGCTCCATTTCTATTAAATATGGGCAAGTATGACTTTTTTTTAATATTATTTGATAGGGATGGATGCATAACCTTATTATATACTCCATTAAACATGATCGATTTAGAGTTTCAACTTAACAAATAAAATAAACAACTCATCCCATAATTATAGATACGTACACATACTATTTCATTTTACATGGTTTTCAAGACGTACCTCTAACCGTACCATCAATGTCTTTACTTATACGTTAAAACTACATATTGAGATGAATCTAACAGCATTTCACATGAATTTGTATAGATGAATCTTTACTTATACCAATTGCATGTATACATCAAACTAACCATTCAAGGAGCCTTCGTCAAGCTATCTTTTCTAGTATTCATCCTTGTAGCTTTTACATCATGTAAGTGTCTCCATCTCTTTTAAGTGAGTAATTGGGTGCACACCTCCTTCAAATTAAATCACACGTACTAGCTTTTTCTCTCGACCAATCAAATTAATTTTTAGCTAGCACAACACACGATTTACATAATCGTGTAATGAATAATTAACCAAGCGCAAGTGCAACGATATTAATAAATTGAGCAATTTTGAATATCAAGACGTACCTCTAATCGTACCATCAATGTCTTTACATCACTACAATGTATTTTCTTTTATTGGGAATCAACTTTGAATAAATTAAAGACGGAAATTGAATAGGGATATTAGAGAAACTTAATATCAATCAGAAGCAAAGTTTTTATTTATTTATTTTTTTTTTTAAATATGTACTTTTTTCGTGTCTAAAATATACATTTACTAGATTAGTTTGCACGATTTTAAAAAATTTATTATTTGTGATTTTTTAATAAAAAAAACAGTTACGAATATAACCATTTACAGAGTAGCTAGTATATTTTATGAAATAAACTTTATTTTTGTTAGTTACAGCTTTTATGAGGTTTTAGTTAGAAAAAATTGCCTACAACTACCCAGATTTTTGCACTTTTTTAAAATAACTACCCACTTTCTTCTATTTTTTTGCGAATCACTACCCAAAAACAATTTCCGGCCAAAATTCAACTACTCCGGCGTGCGGGCCCTTATTACCATCGAATCATCTCCCTATTAAACCCGATATCTCCTAAACAAAACACTCTACTTCCTTTGAATTTCTTTTTTCTCCTCTCTTTCACCTAAATCAACCAATTTCTTCCCAACATTTATCCCCAAAAACATAAGGGTGATTGCTCAATTAACTTAATTTTGGAGGGAAAGGATTAGTAGTGGGTCCCACACGTCGGATTACGTTAAATTATGGCTAGATTAGATGAATTTTGGCCGGATTATGTTTTTGGTAGTGATCACAAAAAAATAGGAGAAAGTGGGTGGTTATTTTTTAAAAAAAAACTTTCCCAGTAGTTGTTTTAAAAAAGTGCAAAAACCTGGGTAGTTGTAGGCAATTTTTCCTTTTAGTTACTATAAAAAAAAAATTAATATTACATATTGCGTGTTTTTCAAATTTAATTTAATACTCCAATAACTCTCTTTTCAAGTAAGAATCTTATTAAATTATTGACTTCTCTTAATTAAAGATTCATTTTTCTTAATTCTCCCCCCGATTCCAAACAAGACAAACAAAAGGGAATGGAGAAAGTATAATTTTTTGGATAAATATGGGATAACACATAAATTTAATTTAATATAAATTTTTTGATAAATATAATGCTATTTTGTATTGTTTGTTTTGAGATTTAATAATGTTATTTTATATAAATTTGGTATAATAAATAAATTTAAATTTGTGTATTTAATATAATTTTTATTTATATATAGAATAAGTTTTAAAGGTAAGTTAGTAAGACAGGATATAATTTATATCTCGTATTTTTTAGTTATAATATAATATTTTAGATAGATATGGGATATATGTGAGATAATAGATAATTTTTATTATCTAGATTTATGATGTCATCAATGTTTTAGGCGGAAAATTTTTTAATGAGAGGTCGACACATGTGCATTTATGACATCAACCGTTTTCTGTTTTATTAGTATTTATTAGAATTAGATATTAGATTAGACGTGTACCACACCCTTATATGTTCGGATGCAACAGTTTCGTCAAGTAGTATGTACAAAATACATAATCAACCCAGCTAATCAAGAATAGGAATTCATCGCGATAGCTTCTTAATTACGTAGTAGTTTCAAACAGCTCCGTAAATCCATAATTAGCTTGTTATGTGCTTTACCTTAGAAAAACAAGCCTAAAAGAATATAGCTTTCTAGAAAAATGCTTTCTAAAAAAAAACCGTCTCTAGTAAACAACTCTTCCAAGTTTATGTTCTTTATTTATATAATAGGCCACTCTTCTGCCTTTTGAATTCTTCATGTTTAGTTAACTTCATATGACAATTATGTTGATTATGATCATGTCAATAATTAATCATATTCAATCAATTAGCTAGCTTTGCTTCATTCTTAATTAATATTGAAATGGAACGTCAACTGTTCTAAAAATCCTTAATTTAATAAGCTAATCCATGCATTATAATTACTCGACAAAGAAGTCGATCTTCCTACCAACATTAAAATTGCTTGTGACCAGCGATCACACCATACATGGAGCAGGAACCTCTAGGCTCGAACTATCTTTTCTATTTATCGTCCTCCTGGCTTATGTGTCCAAGTGTGTTTGTATCTTTGTCGCGTACTGACACATCCAAATCAATGTACGTGCAAATCCAATGGCGAATCCAACAATTCTAACCTAATTGGACTATGAGGTGCAACCTAAATCAAATTGACTACTAAAACATTTGAAAATTTTATAGTGCGTGAATGCATTGCCTAAGTTTTAGACGTGTTACCCAACACATGGCCGTATCAAATACGTCTATATCTTTCATCCTCTGTGACTATGTATACTCTGTGTTGTGTAAAATGTAGATGACAATTACAATTCTATATCAAGCTTTAATTTTCTTTGTAGTATTCTTGCATTGCGGCATGCTATATGCCTTTAATCTGTTGGGTAAGTTCATTTATTAACGTTAAATAACATCAATGATATATTTTCTGCGTTTGTTTTGCAAATTACACTCAAACAATAAACTTACTGTCCTAAATTAACTAGTATTATTTGCGAAATTTCAGTCTCTAAACTTTGATCTATGCCACTCCTTTAGTTTCTTTTTCAGTGGTCAACACTTCACCCTTAATCCAATGATCATGTGGAGAAGTATATTAATTAGCTTTACTTCATTCTCACTTGATTTGAAAAGTCAATTGATTGAATGTGGCCTAGCTAAGTAATCCTAGTATTATTCGTCCGAGGCAGTTCAACATCAATATATATAGCTCATAGATTGAGAGAAACATGATTAATATCAGCATACCTTCATCACCATGGAGGGAACTTCAGTCAAGCTATCTATTCTGGTTGTCGTCCTTGTGGTTTTCGCGTCATGTAAGTGTTTCTCTGTCTCTATCTCTCACAATTTGTGCATGTCTTGTTACATTTATGAGCTATGCTAATACTATATAGTCCGGTACTAATGTACTTCATACTGCAGTTTTTTCTCCGTATACAGCAGAAGCAAGGCGTAAGCACATTAAGCACCGTCGTAATTGCCACCCTCCTGTGAGGCCTTCCCCTGAGACGCCGTCACCAGCACCAGCATCAGAACCTACTGATGGTGTACCACCATACCAAATCCATGGTTGTGGCTACCAATGTAGTGACTCCAATGACTGCGATTGGCCCTGCACAGTCTGTTGTGCAAACCAAACCTGCTGTTACGATGAGCCCTACATTATTTCAGATCCATTCCCAACACTTGCTCCATCACCAAGCGTGGGAGAATCAGTACCTGCACCAGCATTGGCGCCTACTGATGGTGTAGAAATACCACCATATGAAATCCATGGTTGTGGCTACAAATGTAGCGACTCCAACGACTGTGACTGGCCTTGCACAACCTGCTGCGCAAACCAAACATGTTGTAACGATGAGTCCTTTATACCAACACTACCATCACCTGCTCCTGCTCCTGTGATATTGATTCCATTACCAAGCGTAGAAGAACCAGCAGCAGCACCTAGTGATGGTTTCGATGTACCCCCAAACCAAATCCATGGTTGTGGCCATACTTGCAGTGACTCCAATGACTGTGATTGGCCTTGCACAATCTGCTGTGCAAACCAAACATGTTGTAACGATGAGTCCTTTATACCAACATTACCATCACCTGCTCCCGCTCCACAGACTTTGACTCCTTTACCAATTGTAGAAGCACCAGCGTCAGCACCTAGTGATAGCTTTGAAGTACCACCATACCAAATCCATGCTTGTGGCTATCGTTGCAGTGACTCCAACGACTGCGATTGGCCTTGCACAACCTGTTGTGCAAACCAAACATGTTGTAACGATGAGTCCTTCTATATGCCACCATTTACATCATCTGATCCACTGCCATTCCCTCCTTTCTCACCATCACAACCCCCATCTTTACCTCCATCTACAGGTGATGAAGCCGATAATGATTTATTAGCACCAACAACCAGTTACTATGATGTAGAAGTTCCAGCAAGTCTTCCGCCACAAGAATATGAATTTCTGCACCATCAAGTATATGGTTGTGGCTATGGCCCCTGCAGGGACTCCATTGATTGCGCTTGGCCCTGTACAACTTGTTGCGCCGATCACACCTGTTGTCAGGAAGACTTGTTCTAATAAAGCCTCAAACACATAAAATACCTAAGGATGATTCAACTACACAAAATGTTAAACCTACTGTTGTGATATACTACTAGCATGTAAACAAACTTCTTATATAGTATCATCCTTCATTTTTCAGTTGCCATGTCTGGTGATTGGATTTTTATACTATTGCTTCTGTATCATACAATATTACAAATGTGAGCAAGATCAATAAAGATTTTATACGATTAATCACAATGTCACACTTATGTGCATTTATTATTAGATTTCTTTTTCAGTTTTAATTTATTTTGAATTTAACAGTTTGATGCCAGCCTATTATTTCTGTTCAAGAGCAATATAATTACTGTAAGTTTCAATACTCTAATCACTAAATTGGGTTTATGGCAGACAAACCATCAAATGACTGAATTATCAGCATAATCACAACCAAGTGTGAAGTGTATGATCATGATATAGTTTCAATACTTACCTAGAGAGAATGAGTTGAGGCGAAAAATATGGTAGACTTTCTAGAGTTTAAACAAAATTGTACTTAAAAACATTATGCTGATCACATTAGCTTCAATTCATTGCAGAAGATCACCTAATTAATGAAAGTTGAAACACAAGTACAAAGAAAAAAAAAGATGGAAAATTTCAAAAATCTATTCACTATTACAGCTTGCTCAATATCACAAGAAACACATCCGATCCTATACTTAGTTAAATCACCAAATAATTTCAATATAGTAGCTCTGAAAGCAAGATAATCAAAACTGTCTGGGCAAAAAAAACCAAAGCAGGAGCAAATACAAATGAACAGAGTGAAAAAAATATATCAACCGAACAGCTTGAATACTGCACTCTACTTCTTGTCTTCCTTCTCAGCTTCAGCAGCCCTCTTCAACCGAACTCCCATGTGGCGCTTATTGGTCCTCTCCAATCGAAGCTTGGCATAAGCATTGAAGGACTTCATCTCATCGGTAACCTTGAGAAGCTCCACAGCTGGAGTCTCACGTACAATTGGCAAGATCTCACCTCGGACTTGAGTCGCTGTTGCCAACTCCTCGGGAGCAGAATCACCAGCCTGCAGATATAGATCATATATCAATCAATTATTTGAAGCACTGAAGATAAAAGCTTAGAATAAGGTTACCAAGATGCTAATTACCTTGGTTTTGTGTGCCTTTCTTGGGAATACAACCAACTTGGCTTTGTAGGTCTTCAACCTCTGGGTATTAGATTGAAGAGATTCAAGGGAGCGATTCCTGCGCCTGTGATCAACAGCTATGCCTATTGTTGGGGCAAGTTTTTTAGGAATACCTGCTGCCTGATTCATGTAGATGGTAAATCATCAAATTAGAGTGGGCAAGTGATCATCATGTAGATCAACACCATATTCAACAGTGAGGACAAACTTCTAGTTGATTATTTATACTACAGAAAACTTTGTTGTCCTCAACTGTCCTGAACAAAAAATATATCCAGCTTGTTGCTAATTAACTATCAAGCAATAAAATATACCTGTTCCTATAGTGTCAGGATTCTAGGTATCAATCAAAAGCTACGGAGCAAACAATAAAAATCTAATTAATGGCTGTGAGCAAACAGCTTATAAACTAAAAAAAGAGTGGACCGTGTGAGGCTGGTTTAACAGGGCAAAGGCACTTCGATGACTTAAAATTCATAGCCTACCAGGGACAGATGCCGGTACACAAACCATGCATAGGCATAGCTATCCTAGATAAAGGTGGACCCTAATCAAACCTCCTGATCAGTATAAACCTAGGATACCACTCACTCACCTCAAGCTCCTCAAGGGAAAATCCTTTGCCGGCTCTGAGCTTCATGTTGTACTTCAAGGTCTGGCCATGAACAACCGGACGAAGAGGTCCAGCAGTAGGACGAGGAAAGACCTTCACGGCCTTCTTTTGCCGAGCTGAAAAGCGCAAACATAATACAAGAGAGTAAAAATCTTTTATATGGAGGGGTAGCAGGAATGAGACAGATCACACCCACAATATAAGTGCAGGTAAACCTACCCACTCTTCTTCTAGTTTTACGAGCGGGCTGATTGAACCAAGTCTTGACATAGTTTTGCCAGTGCTTCTTGAAATGGCCATTAGGCACAACATTATTATGTCTCACCATGGCTTACCTGCATAACCGAACAAGGGCTCAGTAAACCACAAATAAATAATTCTACAGCAATATCTAAGCATCTGCAGAACCTCCCCACTTCACCACAAGAAATTCAGCATACATTGTGTTGGCAATACCATATCAACAATTTCAGTCAAAATACAAAGATAACAATACCTTCCACATTTATATATCCACGAAAATAGACAGCTATAGCATCATTCACTATCATATTCACATCAAAGCCCTACTACACATACAAGCCAATTGAGTAACAAACAGGGCAAAGCTAAAACAACTATTTTTCATAGAATGTACAAAGATTATCACTTATCCCAAACATTATTTTCTCTGAATTCCTTAAAGGGTACAAAAAAAGTAAGGAAAGATACTACATTTGAATCAAATTCATTAAGCAGCATCAACTAAACAAACCAACAATATGATCACACTCAAATAGCACTAACAAGAATATCCTCACCCTCGTTCCCGCACCCCAACATCAATAGAGAGCAAATTGGACCATTAAGCATGAATGGCAATAGTGTCTTTCCATACAAACAATCTCATTCATCAATCATCAAAGTAGAACAGCACCCTCATTTCAAATTATACCATAAAGAACCCAATATCCATAAAAACTGCATCAACCCATTAGAACCCATCAAAATATCTACTTGAATACCCCTAAATCCCTAATTCCATTAATTTCCTCAAATTCAAAATGTTACTCACAATTACCATAAAAATTAACCATTTAAAGGTATAAAATCAACAAAATCCCTCTAAATTCTTCAACCCAATACCCAGCTCACATTTCCGCATTAGAATCAACTTAAAAACCCAGACACCTATTAACATTCCAATAATTTTTACAAAAAATACAGAATTAAGTATTAATCAAAAAGAAAGTTAAATGCAGTAATTAATAAATCAAATCAAAACATCAAGAAATTAAGAGTGATTATTTCTAAATAAAAAAAAAGGGAGTACCTGAGAGAGAGATCCGACGACTGATAGTGAAGAAAATGGTGGTGTAGTCGTCTCTCTCTGCAAAAAAATTGGGGGAGGAAGCAAAACTCGGGTTTTATGTTCTGCCTCTCAAAAACCCTACTTCCTCAATCCTCCTTCCTTTTTACATTTCATTTTCTTTTTTCCCACCTTTGTTTTTTTTTTTTTTCCTGGTGTTAGTTGGGCTGTGGAAATTCTTTTGAGCCCGGATTGTAGTAGCAAAGGCCCGTGATCGAATTATCAAATTTGACTCGACTAGAAAATAACTTTATCCTTTTATGTATGCCACATGACAAAATCGATTGGTGTCTCTAAGTTAGAATCTGGCCAGAAACGACACATGCGCCTGCTGTCCTATAGTAGGGGCTTCAGACTCCAAGAGGCATGTATCGTAGGCTAAGCTTGTGTGCTGGATGGCGTGAGGCCGCCTTAAATTGCAATTTTTAACCATTGGCGGACTGGCGGGTTGAATCCAGTATAAATGATTTAAATACACAATAGGGTATTATAAGTAATAGAGTGTCTTTTATTGTCACGATCCACTAAGATTCAGTCATATATCATTTTGTTCCGTCCCTTCACCTCACACCCACCCTATTCCCTACAAACACTTATTTTAGGTGCAGAAATAGAAAATTATTCGAAAATGAAGGTCGTAATCCACGGTTTCGTGCCAATTTTGAAAAATTTTCCGAAAATTTTCTTTTTGGAACAAAAATAAAAAATAATTTTAAAATGAAGGTCATAATCCACACTTTTGTACCCATTTTTTAAAAATTTCCATAATTAAAGCGAAAGTATGGTGCATCAAGTATCCCCCAGGTCATATAACTTCTTGGAACCACAATAAGCCATTTGCCCATTTGACAATACGATATGTTCATATGTCCATGGTCCATGGGAAGAAAATGCCAAAAGAAAAAACAGTAATATCTCCCGCGGCGACTTCTGGTTACGCTTACTCCGAAATTGAAGTTGAAGAAGATTGAAGTTGGGATTAATTTGTTCATAAAAAATGGAGCTGCGTTGCATAGCCTTCCCAACAATCCCTTCAACCATCACAAGGTATCCCATTTCTTTTCTAATTTCTTCGTTTAATCTCAATTCCCCTTACAATGCAAACAAACGAAACATGTACACTTGTTCTTGCTTTTCAATTTATCAAACTGAAACCATGAAAACCTCAAATATTAACTTACCCAATAGTTATAACAATTCAATTATGAAATACCCAGTTGGAAAAGAGCAATCTTTAGAGTTATACAGTGAAAAAATTAGTAATTATTGTAAAAATGGATGTGTGGATAAGGCTATGACATGTATTTCTGAAATGCAAGCAATGGGTATGTACCCTAATCTTTTTTGCTATTCATGTTTAATTGAGGCTTTAGGAAGTGTTGGTAGAACCCTTGAAGTTGAAATGATTTTCCAAGAAATGATATATCTTGGGTTTAAACCTAGTGTTGGGGTTTTCAATGTTTTGATTCGAGGGTTTTTGAGAAAAGGGTTGTATGAGCTTGCTAATAAAGGTTTAAGGGCAATGGAGGATTTGGATGTTCTTCGAAATCAAGAGACGTTTGAGATTTTTTTGGATTATTATGTGAGTGCTAGGAGGTTGAGTGATACTTGGAGGATTATTGGGGATATGAAGAAGAGGGGTTATCGATTGAATTCGTTTGTGTATAGTAGGGTAATTGAGTTGTATAGAGATAATGGGATGTGGAAGAAGGCAATGGAAATCGTAGGGGAGATAAGTGAGATGGGTGTGCCTGTGGATAGGCGGATATATAATAGCATTATTGATACGTTTGGAAAGTATGGTGAGTTAGATGAAGCCTTGGAAGTGTTCGGAAAGATGCTTAGAGAAGGAGTAGTGCCGGACATAATGACGTGGAATTCTTTGATCAAATGGCATTGTAAGGCTGGGGATTATATGAAGGCGCTTAGTTTGTTTACTGATATGCAAGATCAGGGACTGTATCCTGATCCTAAGATATTTAATATCTTGATCAGTCAGCTAGGAGATCACGGAAAGTGGGATTTGTTGAAGGAAAATTTTGAGAAAATGAAGCGTCGAGGTCACAAAAAGAGTGGAGCTGTATATGCCGTTCTGGTTGACATATATGGGCAGTACGGGAGATATCAGGGCGCGGAAGAATGCATATCTGCTTTGAGAGCGGAAGGTGTTCAGATGTCATCAAACATATATTCTGTGATGGCTAATGCATATGCTCAACAGGTAACTACATGTGTTAACATCTCATTTTCTCTGATTTTCTTATGGATGTGTTATATTGTCTTGTGTGGCTCTTTTGGGATCTAGAGGCATATTCTGCTTGGTTCTTGTAAGTAACATAATATCATTAAAAGGTGGAAAAGAAATTCTGTCTTTAATTATATCTTTTATACTCATATTAAAAGTTATAATTCCAATGTTGAATTTAAAAATAAGATGGATACCTTTTATTTCCCTAGTATAATGCTTTAGAATTTCTTCTGGGAACATTTCAACGCTATGTACCCTCGGAGGAAAAATTGGAGAAATTCGGAGGATGGAAAGGATATGTTTAGTAAATGGAGAGGAAGTTCTAATGGGTATGGAAGTGGGAGAACTATATGCTATGAGGAAAAACAACTTATAGCGATTAGATGGCTTTATATTGGCTGTGGGGATTATAACCAGGAGGAAATAGGTATTCCTGCAGCTTGGTAGGTTAAAATTTTTATGGCCTTTTAAATTCATAAGTGGTGGGTTTAAGCAAAGAGCAATAAGGAAATCTGTCAGGAAATCACAGCATTTCTCTAAAGATTCTTAATTGAGTTGTGGAAGACAATCAATAGCTTGAGCTGTTATGTTTTGATTAGTACGGTGTGATTCTGTCAATCATTAAGCTATGCCTGATTTGTACATGTATATTACTTTAGCCTCCCTTTCTATTCATGTTTGTACATATTGCCAGTTGTAATTGTTAATTTCTTTGGAAAGATTTGTCTTAACAAGAGTGTGAATGAGATCAATTTGGCTCCGTAGTCATGAAATTAGAGTTGATATTGCTATGTGAATGATTTTCATCCCTTGGTTAGTGATCTGGTGAAAGTGCTTTATGCTTTTGTCACTTTTTCCTGTTTGAAAAAATGGTTGCACAACTTGACATCACTAACATTGGCTGAGAGGGTTTATTTCTTATTTATATGGCTTAGGGATTATGTGAAGAGACTGTGAAGGTTCTGCAAATCATGGAAGCTGAAGGTATTGAACCGAACCTAATCATGCTCAATATTTTGATCAACGCATTTGGTATTGCTGGAAGATATCTTGAGGCACTCTCTGTATATGACCATATCGTTGAAAGTGTAAGTGACATTACTTCATACTGGAAAATATGCTAGTGAAGAATTAAGCTCTTTCACCTTGCCTTGCCAGGCATTTCACAACTGAATTTTCAATATATGTCTTTATCGCAGGGCATTAATCCTGATGTCGTGACATACACCACTCTAATGAAAGCTTTGATCAGGGCAAAAAAGTTCAACAGAGTATGTTTTGAGTTTGATTGACAACCTTATTCTTTTTTCACACTCCCTCCATTTCTAAATTATAGGCCTCATTTGATTGGGGGTCATCATCGAGGAATGTCGCTAATGCACCATAACAATCCTTTATGTATCTTTTGCATATTCACCATATCAATGTAATCTTTTAAGGAACTTTTATAATCGTATCATTAAGTGAATATGAGAAAGTTCAAGATGTAGCTTATTACTGTTGTGAATTAGAAACCTAATCCATATGTACTTGTACTTTTGAGAATCTTCAATCATGTCTTCTTCAGACACCCTAAAGTTTTTCTGTGCTTGTGAAACTGATCTATTGGTTCAAATTCAATCTTCATTTGTTAACTTGTTCACATGGTAAGACACTTGAGCAGATATTGTGATTTTTTGGGACAAATGAGGGCTCTTTGGAAAACATATCAAACATTTGTCTAAAAAGATATCACTTCACTCTCACATTAATGTTCTACTTTTTTATATCTTCATTCCTGTTTAATTGATCTATGAAGTGATTTCTGAATCAGGTTCCTGAACTGTACCAACAAATGGAGTTGGTTGGATGTACTCCTGATAGGAAGTCCAGGGAGATGTTGCAGATTGCATTGATGCACCTTCAACCGATATGATGCTCTGATGATTTTAGATTTCCGACTCTGAAGCCTATTTTCCTCATAAATATAAAAATATACGAAGTGATTAAAATCATTCAGCTAATTGAGGAGAAACTCCGTATGTCTGTATTTATAATTTTACGGCCTCAATTGACCCAAAAATAACCCAATATCAACTATTCAATCCCCAACCCTATTATAAGTCCCAAAATGCAGAAAAATTATATCACAGGCACAATTATAAATTAGGCAAGCCTCATTATAGAGTCCTTGCTTATTTCAAGGTACCTGTTTTCCAGTGATTTCTTTCATTATTGTATGTGATCCGTTATTCTTCTTCCTTTTCAACAATATCTGTAGAACTCATTCAAATTTTTAATCTTACTTAGGCAAAACATGCTGATTGCAGTATATGCATCAGAAGCCAAGCTGACTCTCAGATGTAACAAAGGGGCATTTGGATGATGATTCAGGTAAATCGGTGATGCTTGTTAAGAAGCGTTACATGTCTGCCTATCTTTTGTTTCAGAATTGCAGTTGCTTTAGGGTGACACTAAGTTTCTCATCACTGTGATTGTACGTTCATCCCACAAGATGGTGGTTGACGGGTTCAATTCGCAGACACAGCCTCTTGGAAAGAAGTTAGATTTGATCGCGTACAATCCTGCATCTCATGCCTTCCTCAAGATCTGTGTTGGCTGAAGGAATATTTACTGCCACTGTTTTGAGCCTAGACTGTTCCTGTATCGGCTATTCGGCTGTATGCTCATGGACTAGAAAAAACATAATATTTGGAAAATATGAGGTCCTAGGATTTGGGAGATAGAGGCCTAGTAACCCACCTAGCCTGAGTGGCCCAAAGATCCTAGTTTTATTTAAGACAACATTTTATCTTTGGTGGTTACTCTGATCGCTTGTTAATAGTCAAGTTCTCAACACGGCTATTGAATAGTTTTAAGGTAGGGAGAAATACTCTATAATTCTTACTAGACTTTTACTTCCTCCGTTACATATTAGTTACAACTTTGGAATTTTTTATGTCTCACAAATAATACTCCAAAGTTGCAACTAATATGTAAGGGAGGAAGTATGTTATTTTTGGTCCAGTATTTGTGGGCATTCTTTGTGATGATATATGGTAAGAGTTTACCATGTAAACCAGTAAGCCTTGCTTGGTGTCGAACATGGTATTAGTTGGAACACTTGAGATTACATGCTTTTGTATGAAATTATGTCTTGCAAGTATTTTGGAACGGAATGAGTATTCAAGAGTGTTTTCGCCTATGGGAGTATGGAGTAGTACTCTGTAGTTATTAGTTTGTAATCTCTGTATTAGAAGTGAATATTTTTTTGCACCAAGTCATGTATGTGTACAGTGTACATAATGTTTACTCTGTATTTGGTCTAGTTGTTAAGATCAAGAGTCTGTGAACGATTGGTCACTTGTTTAAATCCATCACTATCATTTATAGTGAGTATTTTGTATTGCCCTTCTGGCTTAGTCGAATCAAATAACATACTTTATAATGTTTACCCTATTTTTTACTGTATTTTTTTGACAAGGAAGAATATAGAAGTTTGGGCCAAATTTATAATTTTACTTTCTTTATTAAATGATGAATGTTTATGGTCAAAGAATGGCAGACAATCTCTTCCCCAATTATCTACAAAGGTTAATAAAATAAGGAGGATGTGATTCATGAGGAACAATTTCAACATGTCAAGATCATGTCTAAAATGCTGGCATCATGCTGGAGAATTAAGAACTTAACAATTAATCGGTGGATCTTAAGCTGAATTAGTGTTAACTCACATATTGTATTGTTTTGGATGAATTTTTTATTAAGCCGATTGTTGATTGAATCTGCGGTGTAACTAGTTCTAAAGTGATTTGTACGTGTGTTGAAATTCTAAATTTCTTAGAATTGTTTATAAATGCAGTTTAACTATCTTTCATTAATAAAATCTTTTTTCTTCTTGTAAAAAAAAAAGGTAAAATTAAAGATAAGCCCATATGTTCCCATTTATAACCATTCAAATTCAACTACGATTTGAATGGAATGTATTATCTTCCTTATACTCTACTAAACAAAATGGTCGATTCTTCAATCAAATACAACGGCATTTATAAGTAAACATATCTGCAATTTCCTTGCACTTTCCATTGACTACACGACTATTATGACTTGTGATAACGAGCTTGTTGCTTACATAATTTGAAAAAGAAGTCATGATGAATTTGTATGAAATGATTTGTTTAATACTTTCTCCGTTTCTTTTTATTTGACGCGTTTTTTTAGTTACGTTTACCAATGCAATTATTCAATCATTAATATCTTTAATGGTCGATAAGCAAAAATTATGAAAAGCTGATATTTTAAAAGTATATAACGTGACGAATCTAACAAGATCTCACATGAGTATATTTTTCATTACATATAAAGCACAAAACACAGTCAAAGAAAGATGTGTAAATAGTGATAAAGTCAAAACGTGTCAACGGAAAAAACGAAGGTAATATATTTCAAGGTTCATTAGGCCTTTTTCAAACTATGAAGTGGTAACAAGAAACCAAAAAATGCTAATGTAAATCTAGCACTCGTATTCACATATACCTTTCAAAATTTTAAAGGTCATGCATAGGGATGGCAGTGGATCTGGACCCGACCCGAATCTATAGATTCAGATCCATTTTTTACGAATATGGGTCTTCAAAATTTGGACCCGACGAATCCGGGTTTGATCTGGGTCCTGTTGAATAAAACGGATTTGGATCCAGGTCTAACCCCTGGACCCGAACCCAGATTTGTTTACAAGTTTAATAATTTTCCTAAAAAAAAACTTAAAGTGTTTGTTTCTTTATTCTACAATGTTGATGATGTTAGTAGTAATGAAGATTATCTCTTTCGATTTTCAAGAGATGAATTTTGAATGTTCATATCGGATACACCATTGTTGTTTGTCGGTTGCTCATTTGTAACAACGTATTTTTTTCTATTGCCTGTAATTTTTTTTGTCAAATGACAAGTATATAAGTTGGTTGCTTTGGATTAGGTATTGAACTTAATAATCCCTCAATGGAAGTTTGAAATGCACTTTTTTACTTGAACATTACATTTTTTAAAAAAAATTAGGAAAAACGTGCTGGACCCGTTTTAGACTCGGACCCGGATCTGGATTCGGGTCTTCATTTTCTAGACCCGACAGATCCGGGTCGGATCTAGATCCCAGGTAGAAAAACGAATCTAGATCCGGGTCTTCATTTACGTACTAGACCCGACAGATCCGGGTCGGATCTAGATCCCAGGTAGAAAAACGAATCTAGATCCGGGTCTTCATTTACTAGACCCGACAAATCCGGGTCGGATCTAAATCCCAGGTAGAAAAGAGGATCTGGATTCGGGTCCATCCGGACCCGATCCGAATCCAATTTGTTGCCATCCCTAGTCATACATAAGTAAATAAGTTAATATGTTGTAACTAAAAAAGCAAAGGGTTGGAAACCGTTGTATACTTAATCTTATTATTCTTTATACTACAACTGCTTTTAAGAAAGCTTATATGGGGTGCGTTATGCTAAGAACTCGAAGAAAAGTTACCAAACAAGGCATATTGCAAGTCTAAATGGACAAACTAAAAGAAAATTACATTGAGACATACGGAGTATGTTAGATATAGACAGGACCGTAGCAAGGCCAGGGCAGGTAGGGCGACCGCCCTGGCCCCCCAAACCAAAAGCTCATCTTCAGTTTAATAAAGGCCCCAAGATAATTATTTATAAAAAAAAAAAACAAAAAAAAAAAAAAAAAAAGGAAGAAGCGTATTAATTCCTCCTGTTCAACCTCCTTCTACAGTTCTACCCCATATTTCAGAATTTCAAACGCCAAATTTTCGCTGTTCAACCTCCTTCCTCCCTAATTTTTCTCCCAAAATATTCACTTTCCTAAGTGAATTTTGATTAAACCAAAAAAAAAACTGTCATTAATTCAATTCTATCCCCTTTTGTCGGTGATTTTATTTTTCAAAATGTATCTCAATTCAATATTCAGTCAGATTAATTCCTTCTCCTTCGTGATTATGATAAACGGTACTTTTATGCTTCACTTATCAATGAGAATTTATCTAATTATATATAATCTTCTTTGTATATTATACTTTATTCATCAAAAACTTTCTTTTTATTAAGTTTTCATAATCTTTACAATTTCTTTCAATCAAGAATTACAAAATTGGGGGGAAAAAATATCTAATTCATTGATTGGTTGAATTGGTTCGTTTGATAACTTTGATTGTTCTAATTGCTTCGAGAGCCTCCGACCGTCGACGAGAGCTACGCCTACGGGATCATCTTTTCATCAAAATGCCAGTATGCTAAGATTAATTTTATACTTTTTCATTCCTAAATAATCATAATGTAATTATGTAATTTTATTTTTATTTGGTTAATTTTACTAAATTTTTTTGTTTCAATTGTTTTCTATTTTTCAGATTTGATTACTTGAGATGACATTTGTTTGGAGTGCAAATTGAGCGTACTAAGACTTTTGTTCAATTGCTTCAATAATCACTTAATCAGGTGTTTTTGTTCTTTTCTATGAACGCTTTGGCTTTGATTTCAATGTTTTATCTATATGAAATTTGATGTTTTTAAAGATTATTATGCGTAATAAAATATGTATTTTTTTGCCTACCCAATTTTTATTTTATTTTAAAACATTATATGTGAATTAGGGCCCCAATTTCGGGCCACCAAAATTTCTGAAACGGTCCTGAATATAGATTACAAAGAGAAGAAGCCATTTATAGGACCATAATATGAGTATTGATTGATCAAGAATAAGTTCCACCCGACCACACTTCCACTTGGAGTAACTAACTTATATGAATTATATCTTTATCTCTTTCATAAGAATAAAGCTAATTAAATGAAGTATGAATGAAAAGCTAAGACTGAAGGTATAGAACAAGAGACATCCAATTTCCTAATAGAGAGTGACGGGAGATTCCTTTCCAATTGCATGGGAAGCCCTTTAAGATCAGGATAACGCTAAGACCATGCTGTGCGCAACTGTGCAAATAAGATGTGCATATTGTATTATTGTTAGGTTATTACTATTATTACTGTGTTTTACAAATGTACACAGTATAATCATGAAGTTAGGTATTGTTAAGAAGAAGGTAGAGTTTTTCGGTTGACAAAATTATAAAAAGTTTTAATTATCTAATGATAATAATTTTACTGTATGAGAATTACATGTGAATGTGTTAACTTACGAGTGTTTTTTTATGAATTTGTTGAACTTATTTTGCCTAAATGAGATCAAGTTGTATGAAACAAACCGACTCATATTACATTATTACTCGTAAGATTATACTCTAATGAACAGATGTACTTATCACAAGATTCACAACCTTAATTGGTAATTGGTAGAGACATTGAGAACAAGCATCACCAATTTACCAAGGTTCACAACCCTTTTCCCCACCCATTTATACGGAGTACTGTACCAAATAATAATAAAAAAAATAATAATAATTTTATCATAAACAAAAATTTCCAAAACAGTAAAAAGGTATAAAGTCCAAAAGAGAGGTTGGAATAGTTAATAAAGATTCGGATCTTTTGGTGTGGGTCTAAAAAAGTTATCCTATCCACAGTAATATTTGTTCTCTCGTCAAAAAAAAAAAAAAAAAAAAAATATTGTTCTCGTAATTCATCAATGTACTTTTAAAAAAAAAAAAACCCTGAAGCCTGAGAATTGGATAACAGTCTGACAAGGGAGCTCAGATCATGCCAACTGTTACCTTTTTCTTACAGTTTTTAGCAAGCGTGCAGGTGTATTGTAAGATATTTTGGATATTGTAATTTTTTTTTTTTACAAGGGATATTGTAATTACTCCGTAACTATTAATACCTCCGTTTATTATTAGCACCTCCGTTTATTAATAATGTTGATTACTATTGAGTATTGACCATTCTACATTAAATTACACATTGCGGTCATCATTAAGGTACGCCTGGTTAATATTTAGGAATTGAGGTAGTAATGTAGTATTCACATATCTCAATTCTCATATCGGAGTCATGTAGTGTTGCAAGGATGGACTATACTTCGTATTATACAAGTATTATACTTTGTAATCAATATATCACGTGTTGTATGTCTATACATTTATTAATTTTTAATTTGTATCGATGATAATTAAACTGATCTGATTTTGACATGAAAAAAGGAGAAAGATTTATTCATAAGAAACATAATTAAATTCTAATTGTGTCATGTCAGTTCATATCAGACAAATAGTTTTCCTCCAAACCTATAACATTATGAATGGCTTATCCATAAAATTTGGAAGAGCCAATAAAAATTGACTACTCAGCATCAATAACAGTAGTAACTCACTATCTTCCAGCATAGAAGAGGGTCCAAAATCCCTTTAGGTACCACTAAATTATCTCTTTAGTGGGACATTTGTTAGCTGTAGGCCTGTATATCCTGCCTTGCCCACAAAATCATTTTATGTGATGTTGT